TTAGCCCATCTATCCTCCAATAGTTGTTTATATCTTACCCTAACTGCCTCCTCTTTTAGTTAATAAATCTTCACCTCTCTCTTACCTGATGCTTCTATTCTCCTTGTATCCCATCTACCTTTTACTCTCAGTGTAGCTACAACTAAAAAGTGATCTGATATATCTGTGGCTCCTCTATAAACATGTACATTCTGAAGTCTACTCAACAGTCTTTTATCTACCAATACATAATCCAACAAACTACTGTCATTTTGCCCTACATCATATCTTGTATACTTATTTATCCTCTTTTTCTTAAAATACGTATTACCTTTAACTAAACCCCTTTCTATACAAAGTTCAATCAAAGGGCTCCCATTATCATTTACACCTGGCACCCCAAACTTACCTACCACACCCTCTCTAAAAGTTTCTCCTACTTTATATATATTCTTTCTTTCTTTCAACACACCAGCCGTATCCCACCGAGGCGGGGTGGCCCATGAGGAAAAACGAAAGTTTCTCCTTTTACATTTAGTAATATATACAGGAGAAGAGGTTACTAGCCCCTTGCTTCCGGCATTTTAGTCGCCTCTTACAACACGCATGGCTTACGGAGGAAGAATTCTGTTCCACTTTCCCATGGAGGTAAGAGGAAATAAACAAGAACTAGTAAAAAAAATGGAAGAAAACCCAGAGGGGTGTGTATATACATATATGCTTGTACATGTATGTGTAGTGTGACCTAAGTGTAAGTAGAAGTAGCAAGACGTACCTGAAACCTTGCATGTTTATGAGACAGAAAAATGGACAACAGCAATCCTACCATCATGTAAAACAATTACAGGTTTCCGTTTTACACTTACTTGGCAGGACGGTAGTACCTCCCTGGGCAGTTGCTGTCTACCATCCTACTACCTAGGTTTATATATTTTCTTTCTTTCTTTCAACACACCGGCCGTATCCCACCAAGGCAGGGTGGCCCAAAAGGAAAAAACAAAAGTTTCTCCTTTCACATTTAGTAATATATACAGGAGAAGGGGTTACTAGCCCCTTGCTCCGGGCATTTTAGTCGCCTCTTACAACACGCATGGCTTACGGAGGAAGAATTCTGCTCCACTTCCCCATGGAGATAAGAGGAAATAAACAAGAACAAGAACTAGAAAGAAAATAGAAGAAAACTCAGAGGGGTATGTATATATATGCTTGTACATGTATGTGTAGTGTGCCTTAAGTGTAAGTAGAAGTAGCAAGATGTACCTGAAATCTTGCATGTTTATGAGACAGAAAAAAGACACCAGCAATCCTACCATCGTGTAAAACAATTATAGGTTTCTGTTTTACACTCATTTGGTAGGATGGTAGTACTGTATGTACCCCCCTGGGTAGATGCTGTCTACCAATCTATGACCTAGGATTACTTGTACTCGACATATATTAAAGTACAATGGAACCTCTACTTGCAAGTTTAATCCGTTCCGTGACCTTGCTCGCAACTGAATTTCCTCGTTTGCAGAGTCAATTTTCCTCATTTAAATTAATTGAAATGCAATTAATCCGTTCCAGTGGAATTCTGTACTTCAATAATTTCCCCAATATCAACTCAACGGCTTATTTATCTATCACAATTCATCTAATATGACATAATAAACAATATAAATAACATAGAAACTTGACATATACTCTAGAATGAATAAAATATGTCATTAATTTAGTGGTATCGGCAACGGACGAGTTTGTCTGGAGACCAGACAAAATATTCCATGAATAATTTCGATATCATCATCTATACGGCTTATTTATCTATCACAATTCATCTAATATGACATAATAAACAACATAAATAACAGAGACCTGATATATACTCTAGAATGAATAAAATGTCATTATGTAACAGGTGGAGGCAGCCAAAACCGCTCCCTCTTTGTTGTGGTAAACACTGCCATCTAGTGATGGCCTTTTGAAGCCGTCCATTATTATTTTTTTTTTTCAACAAGTCGGCCGTCTCCCACCGAGGCAGGGTGACCCGAAAAAGAAAGAAAATCCCCAAAAAGAAAATATTTTCATCATCATTCAACACTTTCACCACACACACACTATCACTGTTTTTGCAGAGGTGCTCAGAATACAACAGTTTAGAAGCATATACGTATAAAGATACATAACATATCCCTCCAAACTGCCAATATCCATTATTATAATTATTATTATATAGTACATTATTATCATATATTATTATTATACGTATATTATTATTAATATATTATATGCTCTTTCTATCTTTCAACACACTGGCCGTATCCCACCAAGGCAGGGTGGCCCAAAAGGAAAAACGAAAGTTTCTCCTTTTACAATTAGAAATATATACAGGAGAAGGGGTTACTAGCCCCTTACTCCTGGCATTTTAGTCGCCTCATACAACACGCATGGCTTATGGAGGAAGAATTCTGTTCCACTTCCCCATGGAGGTAAGAGGAAATAAACAAGAACTAGAAAGAAAATAGAAGAAAACCCAGAGGGGTGTGTGTATACATATGCTTGTACATGTATGTATAGTGTGACCTAAGTGCAAGTAGAAGTAGCAAGACGTGCCTGAAATCTTGCATGCTTATGAGAGACAAAAGACACCAACAATCCTACCATCATGTAAAACAATTACAGGCTTTTGTTGTACACTCACTTTGCAGGATGGTAGTACCTCCCTGGGAGGTTGCTGTTTACCAACCTACTACCTAGGATTATTATACGTATTATTATTATTATTATTATGCATATTATTATTACAATATAAATAATTTGTAATTTTTATTCACACAAAAAATAGACGATTTACTATTATGCAGACTACTGCCTTATTGCAATAATTGTATAAATAATGTCAACCCATTCAGGACTGCATATTGGAATGGACAGTGATGGCCCGGTGGCTAAAGCTCCCGCTTCACACACGGAGGGCCCGGGTTCGATTCCCGGCAGGTGGAAACATTTCGACACTTTTCCTTACACCTGTTGTCCTGTTCACCTAGCAGCAAATAGATACCTGGGTGTTAGTCGACTGGTGTGGGTCGCATCCTGGGGGACAAGATTAAGGACCCCAATGGAAATAAGTTAGACAGTCCTCGATGACGCACTGACTTTCTTGGGTTATCCTGGGTGGCTAACCCTCCGGGGTTAAAAATCCGAACGAAATCTTATCGTATTTGTTTACTCTTGAACATAGCCAAAGAATCTTTGAGCTACTTTGAGCTTAATTTCAAGGTACTTTTCATCGTGAAAGCAATCAAAATCATATCTATTTCTGTAATATATCTTCCATTCTATCAAATGAAAAAAAAAAAAAAAAAAAAAAAAAACGAGAATATAACCATAAAAACAATATGAAAATACCGCTAAGGGGTGGCTACTTGTTGAGAAGTGAGCTCCATTATTTATGCTCCGATTTCTTTCATTTTTGGTGTATGTTAAGAAGCATCTTTCCATCATACAATGCCAAAGTTTCAATAAGATAGTTCAACAAACAAATGAGATCTAATTCCCTAGATCAAGAGCATGAGCCCCTCACCAGCGTCAAGGAACCTCCCTTGAGGTCCGCTCGCTTATGGAAATTTCGCTCACGTATGGAAGCAAAAAATTGACCCATCAACTGCTCGTATTTGGAAAAACGAGCATGTGGATGCACTCGCAAGTAGAGGTTCAACTGTAGTCGGTCAGCTTTGTTCTGTATGATCAAGCTCTCCATCACTGAGTTTGTGTGTGTAAGTGGTATTTTTCCATACTGAAGATTATCTGTCACTTTTCAGACCATGACATCGGCTTGTCCAAATCTCAACTTAGTTCACTGGCACCCCTCTTCCAAATCCATTATTCAGTCTATTTTTGTCTCGTCAATGAATTGACAGCAATGCCAATGTGGAATTTTCTCACTGTAGCTCATTCCCCACAGCTCAGGCACTAAGAAAAAATCTGAGAATTAAGGTTTTTGTCACTCCTGGTGCCTTCATAGGTAACAGATGTTAAACACAAATAAGCCCCTTTGCCAGTGACATAGGAAGAACAAGAGGCCACTGTTAAAAATTACACACCCAAATGAGTCATAAGAATGTTAGGTAGTACAATATTTTTTCAATATTGAGATGGAACCAAAAGCTGGAGCTCTCCTCATGCAAACTCAAATAGGTAATTACAGTCATTTCCATTGTGCAACAGCTTTATTACATAAACATTAAAACCTTAAAATACATTTCATTTTCTTCAACAGCTCAAATTCAGCTAGGAGTAAGATTAAGGCAGTTAACAATGAGGCTTAATCAGTTGATAATACTCACATTTAAACAAAATTTTCTCCAATGTTACCAGTTTGTCTACAATATTACTCTGAATTTGTGTAAGTGTACTTATTTAGGACAATGAGAAAACTTTGTGGTTAAAGTAATAAGGCAATTTTTTTTTTAACACGTCAGCCATTACCCACCGAGGCAGGGTGACCCAAAAAGAAAGAAAAAACTTTCATCATTCATCATTTTCACCATCATTCATACATAATCACTCTTTGCAGAGGTGCTTAGATATGACAGTTTAGATGTCACACCAAACAGTCAATATCCCAAACCCCTCCTTTAAAGTGCAGGCACTGTACTTCCACTTCCAGGACTCAAGTCCAGCTAACTGGAACATTTACAACCCATACTTCACACCCATATAAGTGTTGGTACCACTATACTCTCGCACACTCCATTCTTTGCATCCATGGATGACTTTTTGTCTCCACAGATACTTCATAGCAACATTCACCTTTTCTCCTTCAACAATTCTATGGTTAACCTCATCCTTCATATATCCATCTGCTGATGACACGTCAACTCACAAATATCTGAACACATTCACTTCCTCCATACTCCCTTCCTCCATTGTGATAGCCAATTTTTCTTTATCTAAATCGTTTGATACCCTCATCACCTTACTCTTATCTATGTTCACTTTCAACTTTCTACCTTTACACACCCTAAAAAAAAAAAAAAAAAAAAAAAAAAAAAAAAAAAAAAAAAAAAAAAAAAAACCAACAAACTGGCCATCTCCCACCAAGGTAAGGTGGCCCATATAAAAAAAAAAAACACTTTCACCATCATTCACTCCATCACTGTGTTGCCAGAGGGGTGATACTACATTTCAAAACTGCAAATATCACTAACCCTCCTTCAGAGTGCAGGCACTACTTTCAACTTCCAGGACTCACGTCTGCCTAACCAATTTCACTGAATCCCTTCATGTGTTACCTTGCTCACACTCCAACAGCACAAGTCATAAAAACCACCTGCCTTCATTCACTCCTATCTAACACGCTACCTGGATGTCTAAGCCTCTTGCATATAAACCTTTATTCTCTCCCTCCAACCTTTCCAAGGATGACTATAATAAACATTAATAAACTTTTTCACCAAGGACGAGATTCATATTTCAACATGTCTATATATTTGGTATATACATACTGAACTAGTAACTTCAGGATTCCTGGGTATTTTTAGGCTTTATTACTTGCATTTCCTTTACAATACTTAGATCATTAAAATTTTTGACCTCTGGTATATTATCAATAACTGAATATGGGTTAAAAAATATATCCAACACACAATTTAAAGATAAAAAAAAATATAGAAAACTAGTATGCAATTGATCCAGCCACCTTTGTGGCAATTAATCATATAACAGTTCTAACTGTTTCTTTAAATTTAACTTTAACTTTGAGACTTGTTGGTGAGTGTGAGGAGTCATAGGTACTAGTGAAGACCTCTCACACTCACCATCTAACTCTGTAACTGGCGATTTACTCTTTGGCTCATTTTCTTCACTGAACATTTCTTCATCTGTTTGCATAGGCATTTCCTGATGAAACTCGTGTGCTTTAGCTCTGCCTGGTGTTTGTAAAAATCTGAAATAAAGAAACACTGAAAATTCTGAATAGTTAAGATACACAGTAGGTCCCCAACTTTATGCTCCAACTCACAATGCTCCACACTTATATGACACTTGACATGTTCAAACGAAATAATGAATTATGAGTGCTGATCCACAGTTACAAGAATTGCAAACACTTATATTACAGTTCTATAAATAGTTCTTTAGGTACATTATTTTTTCACTAAATGCAATTACATAGGTTCATTTTTGAATGCTTATTTGGTGAATACAGTGGACCCTCGCATACCGTTGGCATCACATAACGTTAAATCTGCATAGCGATACATTTTATCGCTAAAATTTTGCCTCGCATAGCGCTAAAAAACTCGCTTAACACTATTCGTCCGAGACGCGTCTAATGTGCAGCCTGAGCCAGCCTCACATGTTCCGCCGGTGGCATTGTTTACAAGCCAGCCTCCGTGGTAGCATCCAAACATACAATCGGAACATTTCGTATTATTACAGCGTTTTTGGTGATTTCATCTGCAAAATAAGTGACCATGGGCCCCAAGAAAGCTTCTAGTGCCAACCCTACAGGAATAAGGGTGAGAATTACTATAGAGATGAAGAAAGAGATCATTGCTAAGTATGAAAGTGGAGTACGTGTCTCCGAGCTGGCCAGGTTGTATAGTAAACCCCAATCAACCATCGCTACTATTGTGTCCAAGAAACCGGCAATCAAGGAAGCTGTTCTTGCCAAAGGTGCAACTGTGTTTTCAAAACAGAGATTGCAAGTGATAGAAGATGTTGAGAGACTCTAATTGGTGTGGATAAACGAAAAACAGATAGCAGGAGATAGCATCTCTCAAGAGATCATAAGTGAAAAGGCTAGGAAGTTGCATGACGATTTAATTAGAAAAATGCCTGCAACTAGTGATGATGTGAGTGAATTTAAGGTCAGCAAAGGTTGGTTTGAGAGATTTAAGAAGCGTAGTGGCATACATAGTGTGATAAGGCATGGTGAGGCTGCCAGTTCGGACCACAAAGCAGCTGAAAAATATGTGCAGGAATTCAAGGAGTACATAGACAGTGAAGGACTGAAACCTGAACAAGTGTTTAATTGTGACGAAACAGGCCTGTTTTGGAAGAAAATGCCAAGCAGGACCTACATTACTCAGGAGGAAAAGGCACTCCCAGGACATAGGCCTATGAAAGACAGGCTTACTCTGTTAATTTGTGCCAATGCTAGTGGTGATTGCAAATTATTATTATTATAATCAAAATGAAGCGCTAAGCCACAAGGGCTATACAGCGCTGCAGGGTAGGGAAGGAAGCGAGGGTATTGGATGGTAGAAGGGAGGAGGGAGGATCAGTAGGTTACGGAAAACAGCGGGGCAGGGGATAGTACGGGGGTAGAGGGTAGCAAGAGATTGAAGTAGAAAGGGCTGAAGGTATCAGAATTTGTGAAGTAAGTCAGTTTTTTGTCAAAAAGTCAATGAGAGAGTCTGGATGAAAGGTGGGTCCATCAGCGAGAAGGGAAGGTAAAGAGAGAGCAGCAGAGCGAAGACGACGACGGAGGTAAATTCTGCGTGCTTGTTGATAAAGTGGGCAGTCCAACAGAATGTGGCTGACTTGATAATGGAACTTGGCAATTCTCACAGAGAGGAGCAGGGCGCTTCTCCCTGAATATCCATGAGTAAGACAAGTATGGCCAATGCCAAGACGGGAGAGAGTTTGTCTCCCAACCTCGACACTGGTGATAAGAAGACGGCCAGTAACCTATACTCGGTTTAAATAGATTGAAGTTTGTTGCCGAGCATAGTAGACCAACGTTGTTGCCAACGGGTGTGAAGTTGGGAAGATATTGCAGCAAAATAGTCCGTAAATGGAATACCTCTACATGAAACTGGTAGGTCATGTACTGCTGACCGCGCAGCAGTGTCTGCCTGTTCATTGGCCCTGTACGTCAACATGACCAGGGACCCAACAAAAAACAATATCTTTATGCTTGGTAAACATGCAGCGTAGCCAAAGTTGGATACGGAGGACTAAGGGGTGAGGTGGGATCAAATTTCTGTATAGCCTGAAAGCACTAAGGGGGTCTGAGACAACCACAAATGATGACACAGGCATAATGCTATACGGATAAGTGCTGTAAGGATGGCATACATTCAGCATTAAAACTACTAGGCGAAGATAGTAAATGCCCTTGTTTCACATTGTCCGGAAAAAACTGCTGCGAATCCTACGCCCGTCAGAAGACTTAGAGCCATCTGTGTACACAGCAATGGCATGAGAATGAGAGTGAAAGTGGTCAAGAAAAAAGAGAGCGGGAAGCGCCCGTAGACAGTTGGGCTTTCGAGCAAGGGAGAGAGAAAGAACAGACCGAACAGCTGGAACTTCCCAGGGGGGTAGGGAAAAGTGAGATGCTACATGTCATAGAAAGGTGGGAAATGAAAGAAACAGAGCGGGGGGA